GCACAGTCATAAACCGTGATAACTTAACTCTGCTACAATTACCTTTTTTTATCTATATTGCCCCACTCATTTACTCTTCATATTTTGTTGGAAATCACAGACAAAATATCCTTTTTATATCTGACTTCTATTGTATATTCTCAAAAGATATGGACTATTGTTTAAAACATAACCACAATACCATTATAAACCCAAAAATATGAACAGTGATTCTTTAATATTATGAAACACCTAATTGGTTTTCAAATTCAAATGAACTCTTAAATGTCACATCTTTTCCTCTTCATTTTGAGTTTGTATGCAAATAAGAATCATACATTGCAAATTATTGAATTGACTATTAACATTGTAGATTCCCCCTCTATCTCTCTATCTTTTGGAATTTATTTTTTTAAACAAATAGTCAATTTTCTTTCAGAGTTTGCCAATTTATTCATTGTATCTCTGTAGTGTCATTTAACGTTTCTGTCTTGTCTCTTCTTCTATAGCTATGGCAATTTAATATAGAAACTTGATCATATCTAAATTAGTCTTTATTAGCAAGACTACTTTACAGGTAGTTTTGTGTTGTTTCATGTGGAATCACATGTTAAGTTGTGAAAGAACTATGTGTTATTAGCAGATCTCAGTGTCTAGATGTCTTAGTATATTAATGACTTCAAAAGTGTGATATTCTAACATTCCCTTTCTCTTTATTGCCTAGAATATTTTTATAGTCATCTTATCTATTGTTTTATTACCTAGTGGTAAAGTTCATATAAGAAAGACTGGATAAATTCTTGGCTTAGTATATATTTAGTTTACTCACATTGGCAATTTACCCAACAATGATAATTAGTTTTTTCAATTTTTTATTGTCATTATAAACTCAATAAATTAAGCTTATTTTATGTAACAATATATTACAGTTACTACCCTTTGTGATATTCAAATTGTCTTATCTTTAGGTACTGGGGAGCTTTTCAAGTTAACTCCTGAGTCCTTTCTGAGTCTCTTTGATAGTTACTCAGTTTTGATAGTTAATACAAAACTGCCAAGAACAAATGTTCCTGGATTATAGTGTGTATTTCTTGTCTCTGACCTGGAATCAGACATATATCCATGGAGTTCTTAATTTTAGTCAGAAATGGTACTTGGAACCCACAGTCTAAGTAGTAGGGGTACTCATTGCTGCTGGGTTTGCCATTGGTCCTAGCCTTTTTCAATGGGCAAAACTAGGAGACACACACACATACACATTTTTTTAAAAAATTATTTTTCTTTATTGATTAAGGTATTGCATATGTGTCCTTAATCGCCCCATTGCTCCCCCATACCCCCTCATGCCCTCACCCCTCTGGTATCTGTGTGCATTGGTGAGGCTTATATGCATGCATACAAGTCCTTTGGTTGATCTCCCTCTTACCTCCACCCTCCCCTACCTTCCCTCTGAGGTTTGATGTTCTGATCGATGCTTCTCTGTCTCTGGATCTGTTTTTGTTCATCAGTTTATGTTGTTCATTATATTCCATAAATAAGTGAGATCATGTGATATTTATCTTTCTCTGACTGGCTTATTTCACTTAGCATAATGCTCTCCAGTTCCATCCATGCTGTTGCAAATCATAAGAATTCCTTCTTTTTTCACCACAGCGTAGTATTCCATTGTCTAGATGTACCACAGTTTTTTAATCCACTCATCTGCTGATGGGCACTTAGGCTGTTTCCAAATCTTAGCTATGGTAAATTGTGCTGCTATGAACATAGGGGTGCATATATCCTTTCTGATGGGTGTTTCTAGTTTCTTGGGATATATTCCTAGAAGTGGGATCACTGAGTCAAATGGGAGTTCCATTTTTAGTTTTTTGAGGAAACTCCATACTGTTCTCCACAGTGGCTGCACCAGTCTGCACTCCCACCAGCAGTGCACGAGGGTTACTTTTTCTCCACATCCTCGCCAGCACTTGTTGTTTTGTTGATGATAGCCATTCTGACAGGTGTCAGATGGTACCTCATTGTTATTTTGATTTGCATCTCTCAGATGATTAGTGACTTTGAGCATGTTTTCATATGTCTCTTGGCCTTCTGTACATACACTTTCAAAAGGGGTCTATTTAGGTCCTATGTACATCTTTTTGATTTGATTGTTTATCTTCCCTTTGTTAAGTTGTATGAGTTCCCTATAAAATTTGGAGATTAAAACTTACCGAATATAACACTGGCAAATATGTACTCCCATTCAGTGGGCTCTCTTGTTGTTTTGTTGATGGTTTCTTTTGCTGTGCAGAAGCTTTTTATTTTGATGTAGTCCCATTTGTTTATATTCTTCTTAATTTCCTTTGTTCTGGGAGCTGTATCAGTAAATATATTGCTGCAACATATGTCTGATATTTGCTGCCTCTGGATTCTTCTAAAATATTTATGGATTCCTCCAGTATTTTTATGGTTTCCCATCTTAAGTTTAAGTGCTTTATCAATTTTGAGTTTATTTT